TTTGGTATTTTGAGACAGAATCACACTATGTGGGTCAGGTTGGTGATCCCCCTGCCTCAGCATCCTGGATTCTGGGATTCTAAATGTATACCATCACCCTCAGCTGAGTTTTTTTTTAATGCATTGCAAATATTCTTTCCCTGTCTTTATTTATAAAACATAGTGTCCTCTACCCGCTGTTCTGTATTTTTTCTAGCCTAACTCTATGGAGACATTGTTCTCCCTTCTATACCTGCAAAATAATCTGTTGTGTGGCTTATTTGACCAGTCCCCTGCTGAGGGACATTTGATCTGTCTCCAGCCTTTCTTGTCGTAAACAAGCTGTGGTGAATTCCTTTGTGCATACATCATTTTGAACGTGTGCAAGCATATCTGCAGACAATTCTCAGAAGTGGCGCTGCTAGGTCAAAGGGGGTACACGTTTATAATTTTGATAGAAAACTGCCTAAAAGCCTCCATGACCGTAGCATAAGTGTACAGCCTCAGCGTTAAATCTTTCATGACAGAAAGCTTTCAGACATTTAGGCAGCCACATCAAAACATGCGGAGAGAAGGCAAGGCTCAGGAAAGGGGACTGCTTGACTCCAGCTTCATTTTAAAGCAAACGTCAGTACCAAATACAGCTTGAAAACTGAAGCTGTGTGGGGACGAGCAACTTGTCTTGTACTGGCAGGATTACACGATGGAGCTGAAGCCCATGTGACCCCAAAGCTCCTACTTAGCTGTCAGCCTCCAGTCCACCTGCAGTCTAGCCCCAGCACTGCAGAAACTTGTATCTGACCGTATTATGACCTTATATGTAGGAAAAGTGGAGCCAACAACTATTGAGAGTACAGTGAGTGGACGGATTGACAGGGCTCTGTGACAATAAGAGGACGCAGAAAAGCAGAAGAATGAGGATCCAAGAAACGACAGGAAACAAAAAGTAGCTCAGGCCACACTAGGCTGAGGAGTGCTGGCCTGTGGCGACAGTCTCTCAGGCTTGTAGGAAAGGCAAACAGTAAAACAAAGCTTGATTGTGTAGCATGAAGCCAAGCTTCCTCAAGGCTGGCTCGTCCCAACTCATAGGTAGTCAGTTTCACAACAAATTTGAAAGGGTATCACAGCCCCAGTAGGTTTACACAAAACCTTAGCAATATTTATTTAAAAGCATCAAAACTCACATGTGTGAGATCTGGTGTGTGTAAGTGTTGGTAGGACTGGGTCATAATTTTTTTTAGTAGAAGTACTGGAATGTGGTATTGATATATGCATGTAATGAGTATGAATGAATGTCTCCCATGTGCCTCAGTGACCTCAGAAGGTTTGGTAATTATCTTCTTTGACCCTCTCCTTGGGAATTTCCTTAAAGTTATGGAGTGTATTTGGGGAGGAGTGTTGCATTCTTAGGTATAAGTCCAAGGGTGTCCAACCTTTGCCCTCTGAAAATGAAGATGTGAAAAAAAAAGTCTCTAGGAATTAAGCATTGCAAAGGTAGGTGAAATTTGTTACCAAGTGCTGTCCATGTTGTATGTCTCTGTTTCTCAGCCTTGGGAGTAAACGGCTTACAGTGTGCTGATGATTCTTCAGACCTCAGGAAACATCCAGGCAGGGTGTCAACAGCCCAAGGCCTCGGGGAGCAGCTTCCTTCCTTTGTCATATTCTGTGTACATGAAAGAGGGCATTGATGGCGTGAGCAGGCCATCACTCCATCATTTCCACCAGTACATTCTCGGGCTGAGAGAGCTTCTGCTGTCAGCCGCCCTAACCAAGAAAGACTGGAGCCACAGTGTCCTCCTGAAGGCCTTCTCTTTGATTAGTTCTTTCTTTATTATCATTGATAATGACGATGACTTTTTCCCTTTTTTTTGTTTGTCTATAAGCCAATTTTCTTGTCCTTTTATATTTTCCCATTATTCTGATAAAAAAAAATACATAGTTTCTTTCAGTTAATTCCTTTTCTTTTTCTTGCCCTGGGATAGATGGATATAGGAAGCTTTGGTTACTGTGCACTTGTGTGTATGGGGCACACATGTTTGTGTTTACGTATATGTTTCAACATACCAAGAGACAGCACACATTGACAAATGAGAATGTAGGTTCTGGGGACTGGAGAGGTAGGTCTGCTGTGGATATTGCTTTGTATAAATAAAATGCTGATTGGCCAGTAGCCAGGCAGGAAGTATAGGCGGGACAAGCAGAGAAGAGAATTCTGGGAAGTGGAAGGCTGAGGCAGAGAGACACTGCCAGCCGCTGCCATGACAAGCAAGATGTAAGATACAGGTAAGCCACGAGCCATGTGGCAACTTATAGATTAATAGATATGGGTTAATTTAAGATATAAGAACCGTTAACAAGAAGCCTGAGTCATTAGGCCAAACAGTTTAAATAATGTAAGTGTCTGTGTGTTTACTTTATAAGTGGGCTGTCGGACTGCCGGGGCTTAGCCGAAGCCGGAGAGAAAACTCTCTAGCTACATAGGTCAGAGGTTAAAAGCGTGTACTGGTCTTGTAGAGGATCTGAATTCAGTCCCCAGAACCTTTGTGGGAAGGCTTACACCCTCAACTCCAGCTCCAGAGGATCTCATGCCTTTCCTAGCTTCCTTGGGCACCTATGCTCCGCTCATCTCCACCACACACATAGTATATATACTAGATATATACTTTTTAAATTAGATATATACTAGATATATACTTTTTAAATTAGAGGCTGTGTACTCACATGTGCCGTGCTCATCTCCACCACACACGTATTATATATATATGTATACTTTTTAAATTAGAGGCTGGAGAGAAGGCTCAGTTATTAGGAGTATGGCTGTTCTTTCAGAAGACCCAAATTCAATTCCCACCATCCATATGGTGGCTCACAACTGTGACGCCAGTTCCAGTGATACAGTGGCTTCTGGTCTCTAAAGGCATTGCAATCATGTGCACACACACACATACACACACACACACACACACACACACACACACACACACACACACCCCACACACAATCAAAAATAATAAAAATAAATAATTAGAAAATTTTAAAAATGAATCTTAACAACAACAAAAAAGAATGTAGGTAAGCTGTGCCTACGTAATGGCACACACCTTTAATCGCAGCACTCAGGAGATAGAGGCAGGTGAATCTCTGTGTTCAAGGCCAGCCTGAGTTTCAGGCCAGCCAGGGCTGCATAGAAAGACCCCGTCTCAAAACAAAGCAAAGCCTAGGTCCTGACAAGGGTGGTGGCACATAGTGTAATCCCAACACTAGGAAGGTGTAGCAAAAGAATGATAGTCCCTATTTCAAAAGTGAAGAAAAGGAAGAATGTGGGTCTATGGATGGACTGTCGGGGCTCAAATCCTGTTCAAACCAGTCACTCCTGTGTGTTTGCCTCGTCTGTAAAGCGGGGTTAACAGTGATGTCGTTTCATAAAGTTCTTCTGAGGAATCAGCAGGTTAACATATACAGTGCATCTAGATAGAGCTTAAAAACTGCCCAAGACAAGGGCGGCAAACTGACTGCCAGCCAATGCAGCCCACTTCTTGTTTTCTAAGTTTCAGTGGAACACAGACTTGGGCACTCATTATACATTTCCTGTGGCAGCTTTCTCAGTACAGCAAGACGAGAAAGCTTGTACTTAAATTTCTACATTAAGTTTGCCTTTAGATTTTATTGCATTAGCTGGGTGGTAGTGTCACACACCTTCAATCCCAGCACTCAGGAGGCAGAGGCAGTTGGATCTCTGTGAGTTTGAGGTCAACCTGGTCTACAAAGCAAGTTCCAGGACAGACAGAGCTGTTACACAGAGAAACTTTGTCTTGAAAAACAAAAAACAAAAAACAACCACAAAAAAAATTCATCTACTTTATGGTGGTCAAAAAGAATTTTAACAGAAATTCAGGTAGTTAGAAAACATTGATTTTTAAATTTAACCTCTGTAGGTCTTTTTTAGTTAATTTGTAATGGAATTTTCCCAAGGGTCCTGGGGAAGATGCTATGTCTGGCAAGGGGTTATCTGAAGGAAAGGAATCTATATACACCATGCTCTTTTGTCCATTTACTTTATTTCTCTAGGACAAAATTCCATCTATACAGCTTCAGCTCCATCCTCACATTCGGCTCCTCTCTGTACTTACTGCCTTGTCATAGTCCTAACTAAGCTCCTATGCTTTTGACCTCATCTTCATCCTCTGTTCCTTCATCCTCCATCTTTCCTTCCTTGCTCCTTACTCCTGACTCTGAGAAACTCTGCCTTCTTCTCTTCTCTCCAGTCATGCAGCTCTGTCTACCATCTACAGAAACTGCCTTGTTCTTTCTCTCCCAGCCACGTGACTCTGCTCTGGCCAGGAATCCTGCTCCAGTCTTTACTGCACCTGGTTATGCAAAAAGCCCTATTCTCCTCAGTCAAAAGCTCTGCAATGCTGCTAGGCCTGAAGGCAGGGGGATGGTCTGAGTTTCATTTGCACAAAAAAACAAGGCTATGCATCTACAGCCTGCCTGTCTCCTAGGCTCTGTAGGAATGTTAGTTACCTAGTGGATCAGCAGTAGGTCTGAGAAACTTAACTGTTTGCCATATGGCCTAGTAGTATATGGGCACACAAGAAATTCATAGCAGAAGACAGCTGATATATTAAAAACTGAATAATATCAAATATTCCTTGATAAATGGCTTCCTCTAGAAAAATGCCTTGACTTTTCTAGGTATAACTTTAATATACAGCTGAATCTCTATAATAAATTCTTGCAACCCGCTGCACATTTGTAGTTCAATCACGTGAAATATTGTTTAAGTTCACCTCTGCTCAAAATGAGGACCCTATTAATATCTACTGGTAGGTAGACAAAATCACTCTGGGGTTGGAATTGGAGTCATGGTAGCAGAACAGTGCATTCACACACTGTGATGGGGGATGAGTAAAACCATCCAGAATAGCTCCCTGGTGTTCTTGGATGTAGAATAGGTCTGGGAAGAAGGCAAGGAAAGAAAATGAGTGTGCTGGACCACTCTGTTGGGCAGGTTCATGCTGTTGCACCACTGTTTTCCAAAGTCGCCTAAGAGTAGATTTTAATGGCTATGCTTCTGAGACAGATGAAAGGTGCTGTGATCTGAAGAGGGAGGACTTCTCAGCAGAAGAATTAAAGTAAAAGTTCTAAGAACCTAGAGCCTCCACAGCACAGAACACACCAAGAGCACTTCCTCGGGATACTGTAGAAAACTACCAAGATTGACTGAGGCCCTCGGCATCCTGCATGGCACAGCATAGGAAATACTGACCTGAGTGTTTCTCCTTGCTGGGTAGAAACTTTTCATTTCTGATCAGAGCAGTGAGCTTGATTGAATAGCCTGCACCATAATGTGGATTTCAGGTATGTTAGCTCTGGTTCCAGTCCTACCAGTAATGTGGCCTGGTATTTGGTTTCTTTGTGTGCCTATCACAACGGTGCTTGCAACAAAGGTACTGTTGGTTCAGCTGTCGAAACAAATTTGTCAGTTTATAACAGAGTCAGAGATAATGAGCATCAAAGGATTAGGCCCAGAGCAGGGTAAGATTTGACGAAATAGATGGCTCAGAAAACAGACACATCCTTAAACAGCTTTGGGTGGAATCAATGAGTCCGTCCTCAGCACTTATTACATAATGATATAGACTAGGAAACAGGCTGGCTCCTGTTTGTGGACCAAACTAAAAGTGTCTCACTGCCTGCAAGTTAGGGTGCTGGAGGGCATGTTCTATCTTGTCTACTTTGAGGAGGGGGTTCATGTGTTTAGAGATGCTTGGGTTCGAGGAACTGTAGAAGTACCAAGTTGTAGTTGATGAGAAGGTAGGTATTGAATTTTCCTACAGACAATAAGCCCTAAGGTAGCAGGGAAGAACCCTTCCTTGTGGCCTGCTACAATCCCTATGCCCAGTTCAGAGCCTGCCTATAACAGACATTGATGAATACTTGACAGAAAACAAAACTGAAGCCAGAAGTGGAATGAAACATTTACTTTTTATTTTTAAAATCATTTTTGTTATTTTCAATTATGTGTATGTGTGTGTACTATGTGTTGGAATGTGCACATGGGTGTAGGTGCCTGTAGAGGCCAGAGGTGTCTGATTCGCTGGAGTTAGAGTGACAGGAGACACCTGATGTGGGTGCTGGGAATCAAACTGGTCCTCCTGAAGAGTAGCACATGCTCTAACCTCGGAGCCAGCTCTGCAGCATGGAAACTTTTTTTTTTTTTTTTACAAAAGTTACCAGTGGTGCTGGGCGGTGCAGGTACACGCCTTTAGTCCCAGCACTTGGGAGGCAGGGGCAGGTGGATCTCTGTGAATTCAAGGCCAGCCTGGTCTATAGAGTGAGTTCCAGGGCAGGCTCCAAAGCTACACAGAGAAACTCTGTCTCGAAAAATCAAAAAAAAAAAAAAAAAAGGAGTTACCAGTGGCACTTTTTGAAGTCAGTCAAGTCTGATCATATTGCGGCCATTGTGACCGTGGTTCCATTATCCATCACTGATCATGCTTTAAAGCCCACCATGACAATGAGATACTTTCGTAGGTCAGTATTGACAGCTCACAGTGTTTAGGGGCCTGTGTACCAAAGCCTTCTCACGCTACAGTTCATTCTTTCTGTTGCTAATTGTCAAATAACAAACTTAACTAATAAAAAAAAATAGTACATATTTTAAGCTCATTAGGTTCTTAGGAGAGGTATGCTGATTTAATTCAGATATTGTCTAGATTACCTAACCCTCACCTTCTACTGTGGATTATCAGGTGCTACTGTTAAGCCTATTTAGCAAACTGATTCTAGTCTTATACATTTAACTTCTTGTGAAATGTATTTGCTGTTAAAATTCTATATAAACTGGGTGGTGGTGGCACATGCCTTTAATCCCAGAGGTGGATCTCTGTGAGTTCGCGGCCAGCCTGGTCTACAGAGCTAGTTCCAGGACAGCTAGCACTACACAAAGAAACCCTGTCTTGAAAAACAAAACAAAATTCTATATAAAAATCTGTGCCTGTGTTTTAGGCATGTCAACACCTACCCTCCAGCTTTCCACTTTGGAAGGATTGTGGGGGGCCTGCCACCACCTTACCCTGGGTACTCGCAAGGAGAGAGGAATAAGAAAATATTAGATAGAAAGAGAGACCTAGCCGACAAGAAGACAGAAACACAGGATATAGCTTTGGGAGGATCTGGCTCAATACCCACTGACGCAGAGCTGTATTCAAAGGGCTTTTTTTTTTTTTTTTTGGTTTTTCGAGACAGGGTTTCTCTGTGTAGCTTTGCGCCTTTTCCTGGGACTCACTTGGTAGTCCAGGCTGGCCTCGAACTCCCAGAGATCCGCCTGGCTCTGCCTCCCGAGTGCTGGGATTAAAGGCGTGCGCCACCACCGCCCGGCTCAAAGGGCTTTTTATAACAATGTCAAGTGTAGCTAGAGTTTTCCTGCCTGGCCCACAGTCAGGACAAATCTCTATCACCTGCCAGTCCCACAGCTGCTCAGACCCAACCAAGTAAACACAGAGACTTACATTGGTTACAAACTGTATGGCCGTGGCAGGCTTCTTGCTAACTGTTCTTACAGTTTAAATTAATCCATTTCCATTAATCTATACCTTGCCACTTGGCTCGTGGCTTACCGGCATCTTCACATGCTGTTTGTCATCGTGGCGGCTGGCAGCATCTCTCTGACTCAGTCTTCCACTTCCCAGTTTTATTCTCCTCCTTGTCCCGCCTACACTTCCTGCCTAGCCAATGGCCAATCAGTGTTTTATTTATTGACTAATCAGCAACACATTTGCCATACAGAACATCCCACAGCAGTCAAGGGGTGAGGCAAAAGACTTCCTGCTTGCTAGATAGAGCCGAGTACCCAGGCCAGTGGTCCAATCATCCTCTTATGCAGTCCTGCTGGGTAAAGCAAGCTCAGATCTCACTAGGAAACCTCTGTGGGCTCCCACAAAGGGTGAACTTTGGGGATGCACCCAGCAGACACAGGTGAGTTAACTATTGGGGTCCAGCCCCTCAATAGCCTTCTCCTACGGTCTATGGAAGAATCTATAACCAGCTGATAATCTAATCTTAGATGGTATGAAATGAATCTACGTACACGAAACTCTTTAGTCCATTCACTTTACTCTTCTGAGTCAGTTCTCTGTCTACACAGCTTCTATTCTGCTCTCTTATGTAGCTCCTTTCTTGCCTGATTTCTCTCTACATTTCTCTGCTGTTCCCTCTAGGTGCTATCTCAATTCCTTCAACTAGTCCTGCCCCATCTAGGTTCTCATCCATCTAGTTCTTTTCCATCTCAGCTCCTCTCCCATCTCCTCCTTTCTCATCTCATTCTTCCCCACCTGGCTCTTCCTCATCTTCCATCTTGTTCTTCTAGTTCTCTGTCTAGTAAATGTTGTCCTCAAGTCTCTGAGGTTTACAGTTATATACTCACGCAATAGCAGTGCTTTGGCTAAGGCAAGGTCACCAGGTTTGAATTCCCTCAGGGTCAAAAGGAGGGGTGATAAGATTCACACAAAAGAGCAATAGTTGTCAGCCATGATCTGCAACCCAAAAGGGAAGTGACTAAAGGGGAAATGGATCAACTAAGGGCTAAATTCAGTTAATGTCTAAGCAAAGGGGGTTTTATATGCTCAAACTGTGTTCTTAGAAGTGGTTAGGTAAAGTGTTAGGAGTCTATCAGTGACAAGTGAAAATAAAACTGCCTTATTTTCCTTTGGCTCCTTATATGTCCAAGCTATCTTGGCTGCTGCTGTTTTCTGGCTGGGCGAAGGAGTGCACTCGGTGGCTAGGCAGCCTGAGTCACAGCTAGATGCACCTATCAATTGTTAAAGGGAGATCTGGAACTAGAGATAAGATTTAGAAAAGGAGAAAGTTAAGCTTAATTAGCACATCCATCCACCTGACCTGGGCAATTGTCAGGGTAAATCTTTACCTTCTCTGACAAATGGTCTGTTCTTAAAAAGTCTGGGAAGTTTCTCAGATAAGATAATTTCATCCTGAGAAGGTTCTGGCCAGATGTTGCTAATGATGATAGTTACAGAGAGGCTTGAAATTGGGTGTCTGGCTGTGTTGCTGCCTTTAACACAGTTGGGGTAGGTTCTCCAAATATTCCAGTAGCATAGGGGAAATTGTGTTCAATGAATGATCAACACATTGTTCTAGAAATGAAGAAGCTACAACAGCACTCAAGAAATTCATTGCAGGAAAATGGCTAATATTCAAGAGCCAATGTCACCAGGACTCCTTGAGGCTTGGCTTTGTCCTCTGGAAAGGCCCTTGGCTTCTTCCAGATATTAGCTTTTGCCATAACCAGCTGAATTCCTACTTCATTTTTCTGCGGTTCCCAGCAGTGGGTGAACATGACTTGCTTCATTTCACTGACAGTACTGATCACTATAGTAACTATTTCATCAGGAAATATCACTGGGCAAGCATCTGTGACTAATACAGTAACACACTTCCGTGTTAATTCTGAAGGCAGTTACTACCAGGACAGTCTGTGTGGGAGCAAAAGGAGCTGCTTTATCAGAATGGATTTCCCTGTGGTCCTGGGAAAGATGCTTTATCATGATGGATTTCCCTGTGGTCCTGGGAAAGCACTTTCATTATGCTCACTTTCTTGCTGATGTTTGGAAAGTTTCATTCATGATGAATGAGGTAGGGAAGGGAGATGAAGAGAGACCTCTCTCAGTTTGGTCATATGAGCCCTTAATACTGACAGCCTGTACCTGATCACTCTGGACCTTCCTGTAAGAGTCACACTCAGTCTGTAGAGCAAGGTGGAGAGACATGATTTCTCTGTCTTTGTTTCTATCTCTGCCCCCTCACACCACACACACACACACACACACACACACACACACACACACACACACACACACACACATACCCCTACACCTATACCTATCCTCATTTTGCCTTTATGCCAAAAATGCCTTTTTCCAGACACAGGCAACATGCATTTCTGGTCACAGTCTGACTGCCCCAGACTCTGCCTCTCTATGTACAACCTACATCTGTCTCTACCACATGCCTCCAGCAAAACCATGCATGTCTCCCTCTCAAGCCAACCCTTACCCATAGTTTCTGTCTCTAGGATCCACATGATTCACCAGTGGTACCCAAGACTTTTCCTCTTA